TTAAAAACCTTAAGGATGTATTCGAACTTTGTCGAAAATACAATCTCAAATTACATCCTGAAAAATGTAGTTTCTTTATGCATGAAGTGACTTATCTTGAACACAAATGCACAGACAAAGGTATTTTACCTGACGAAAGCAAGTATAATATTATTAAAAATTATCCAACACCCAAAAACGCTGACAGCGTTAGACTCTTCGTTGCTTTCTGTAACTACTATAGAAGGTTTGTCAAAAATTTCTTTGACTATTCACGTCATTTAACCAAACTTCGTAAAAAGAATGTTCAATTCGAATGGTCCAAGGAATGTGAAATTCATTCCAGTATTTAAAAAATGCATTAATGCAACCAACATTACTTCAATACCCCGATTTCAGCAAATCATTTTGTATTACCACCGATGCTAGCAAGCACGCTTGTGGTGCTGTACTCAGCCAAGAGTACGATGGACAGCACCTACCATTCGCTTTCGCATCAAAAACTTTCACTTAGGGAGAAAGTAATAAATCTACTACGGAACAAGAGTTAACAGCAATTTATTGGGCAATCAACTATTTTAGACCGTACATATACGGAACACACTTCTTAGTAAAATCAGACCATAGACCACTTTCTTATCTGTTTTCAATGAAAAATCCTAATTCCAAGCTTACAAGAATCCGAATTGATTTAGAGGAATACGATTTCACAGTGGAGTTTCTCAGGGGGAAACAAAATACAGTAGCCGATGCTTTGTCTCGGATAACTATAAATGAATTGAAAGACCAAAATCACACAAATACAGCTATACTGAAAGTTACAACGAGAGCTGAAACAAGGAAGAATACGCAAAAAGTCTGCGCAAACACAAATTTAATAAGACCGAGACATCAAAATAATGATAAGCTCAAAGTTTATGAAGTCGTTAGTAGTAACGACGTTAAAAAATGTGTAAAATTAAAATTATCATCCCACAATTGTTTCCTGAAGCATGGGAAAAGAATTTTAAAACACATATATGTTGATAATTTAATCACTAATGGAAATTTAGATCTAGATCTGCTATTCCAAAGGCTTGATCAACAAGCCGGTGAAGAATTAAAAATCAAACAATTACAAATGGCACCTTGCGAAAAGATTTTTAAATCTGTATCGCTAAATTCTTTTAAAGAAATGGGCAACAAAAATTAAAAAATGTTAAAATAGCGCTATTACCACAAGTGACCAAAATAAACGAAAATAATAAGTCGGCAATTGAAGCTATTCTTCACCAATATCATGATGATCCAGCAGAAGGAGGTCATACTGGAATTACCAGAACATTGACTAAAATAAAAGAAAGATTCTACTGGAAAAATACGACAAAAACGATTACCAAATACGTAAAAAAATGTCTAAATTGTCAACTGGCCAAGACAACTAGACATACAAAAATGCCTTTAACGGAAGTGCAAACGCCTATGTCTCCATTTGACACTGTGTTAGTCTACTAACCATTGGTCCACTCCCAAAAACGGAGAACGGCAATGAGTATGCAATCACATTAATATGTGACCTAACAAAATATTTGGTAACTATTCCAGTTCCAAATAAAAGTTCCAAGACTATAGCGAAAGCAATTTTCGAAAATTTTATCTTACAGTACGGACCCATGAAACGGTTTCTAACTGACATGGGTACAGAGTACAAAAACCAAATTATGAACGACTTATGTAAATATCTCAATATCGAGAATATTACATCAACAGCCCACCATCATCAAACGCTAGGTACTGTAGAACGCAGTCACCGCACGTTTAATGAATATATAAGATCTTACATCTCAGTCAATAGAGATGATTGGAATGTTTGGATTAAGTACTTCACGTATTGCTTTAACACAACACCATCGTTAGCACATGGATACTGTCCTTACGAACTCCTGTATGGACGTATTCCAAGTAAATTCTATGATTTCAATAGTGGTAATATAGAACCACTATACAATATAGAAGAATATGCTAAAGAAATCACAAATACAGATTAGAAGTAGCTTATGAAAGAGCAAGAAAAATGCTCGATATATCAAAATTAAAAAGTAAACTTATACGGCGTTTACATTGGCCGAAAATGGCTCATTTTGAATGAGCCATTTGAAAGTGTTTACATTCGTTCTATTTCATTTGTTCTCATTTCAACATCTAATTTTTCAACTTGCATGTTGATTTGATTTTTGGCCTGTGCCAAAAAAATGTTGCATGAAGGTTAAATATGCCTTCAAACCTTACAATATAAACTGAAAACTTGTTTCTAGATTCGATTTATTTATTTTTGGGAAGTAGAAGTTCCAAAAATTGGTGCATCGTTTTAAAGAAAATGCAACCACCAAACATTTTTTTACCTTTTTTTGTAAATATGTCAAAACAGCTTTTTCAAACTGTCAAAATGCCATGAAGAGCTTTCATTTAGGGTATGTTCAATGGATTCCTTTGCATTTGGAACGTATGTGGAATGCATTCGAACGTCATACAGAATGTGAGAAAATTGCTCATTTTTGTGCTTGAAATTTTATATGCAAGAATGAGCCATTCGATACTCATTTTCGATTTTTGACCAAAATGAGCCATTTTCGGCCAATGTAAACGCCGTATAAGATATGATAATAATTTACATAGTTTTCAATTAGTAATAGGAGATAAGGTTTTATTAAAAAACGAAGTAGCTCATAAATTTGAAAATAAATATATAGGTCCATATTTAGTTAAAGATATGGAAATAGGTAATAATATAGTTATAGTAGATAGTAAAGGTAAAGCACAAAAAGTGCACAAAAATAGGTTAAAACCATATATTAGTTAAAAAAAAAAAAAATTTTAGTTTTAAAATTTAAATCAAAATAATATATATAGTAATGAATGAACGCATGAATGGATATGTGGATGTAAATGTATATACTATATTTGAAATAATATGAGAAATATATTTATAATTAAATTTAAAAAAAAAATAAGCAATATAAGCAATATATAAGCAATATATTAATAATATATCAATATATTAATATATAATCAATTATTAATAATTACATAAAATTTTGTTTAAAAATTTTATTACATTATTCCTTTAAAACAGGATGTGTAGCGTGCATAAGCATACACTATGTGAGTAAATAAGTATGCTGATATTTATTATACCTTTATTGCATTTTTGCAATATGAGCCCCTACCGTCCATTTGACGATAGTGTTTGGGCTGGCGTGTGAAGACGCCAATTCAGCAAATTCTCACAGTATGCTAATGCACACTGCTCCTCCACAAATACCAACTTTGTAAAAGGATTTTAATTAATAAAACAGTCTTAAAACATAATTGAAATGATTCGGTTCTTTTTATTTAAACAAATCGGTATACGGGAATCATCACTACACTAGTGATGCAACGTTTGATTAAATACCTAAACTACACAGCAGTACAACAGCTGGACAGGATATTTCACAAGAGTAGATCAGAATATCAATTGTACATCAAGCGAAGAGAATTTCAGTTCCTAACGGAGCTAATAAATCTAGCAGAAGACTACGAAATCATCCGTACAGAAGAGAAGAAGAAACCAACAGAATCTCGCCCAATCGACAAAGGAAGACAGATACCATTTGGCCAAGTCACACACATTAGCTCTTCAAAAATATGCTATCATTGTGGTGGAACAGAATACATCGCAAATGGTTGCCGTAATCCACAGGTTCTGTTTTGCTGGCAATGTGGGAAAAAGGATATACGCACCATAGAGTGCTGTCGAGAACCAAATACTCAGGGAAACGGACTAAGGTCACGTCGCCTAAACCAAGCGAACGTGACCACGACACATACCAAGTAAACCAAGGAAAGCCCATTAGTCAACTCCTTACAGTCAACGTACAAATTCAAGACCTTCCAGTATCAGCTCCCATAGACACAGGTGCAACCAGGAGTTTCATTAAACCCAAACTACTAACAAAAATACAAGCAGAAAAGAAACATTGCAGCAAAGATATCATCTTAGCAGATGGAACAAGACGCGGAATAAGTGAAGCAGTAATAGCCACAATTAACCTAGGGAAAACAAAAACTGAAATCGAATTCTTGGTATTAAAAGGGATAGCTAACAACCTAGTATTAGGTTTAGATTTCCTATCTAGCACTCAGAGTAACCCACAGATTGGGAAATCTACCATCCCGATACAGATAAGCAAACACATCGACAGCCATTACTGCAGTATACAGCAGAATAACATCGACGAAACGCCTGAAATTAAAAACTTCTTAAACAAAGAATTGGCCTATTTTGCTAAGTTGGAGGGAACATGAAACATAAGATAACAATGAAAAATGATGCACCAATTAAGCAAAGATATCATCCAAGAAATCCAGCAATGCAAAAAATTCTAAATCAAGAAGTGGACGAATTACTAGAAGAAGGATGTATAGAACGATCGTACAGTCCATACAGCGGTCCAGTAGTACTCCTTAAAAAGAAAGATAGAAGTTGAAGGTTCAGTTGTGCAAGACACAAAACCTACCTCGTGCATCTGGTTGCAAAGACGGATAAACGAAGTGCAAGAAGATCCAAAAAACACCCAGACTACACCATCGAGAATGGCAACTTATACCGGCGAATATTACGCAGCAACCTAGACAATGATTTTTTTTTATTATTACAGGAATTATAGTAATTCTCAATATTCGTAATTGCAATATATGTTGTTAGTAAATAAATAATACATATTGTAAATATTTATTTATAAAAAAAAATAAATAAAGGAATTAAAATAAAATTAACCGGTCTTAAAATTATTATACGAGAAGATTCAGGGTTATAAAGAAATATTCTTGTAACGACTCTGGGATCCGGCGAGCGAAACTTCGGCTGATAAAAAGGTTCATTACAACATTACACAATGTATATTATATTTTTAAGGATGTTTGAATCATATAATTCCTTAAAGAAGGGTTAAGTATTCCAGCAAAATATTTTTAAAATATTATTAAATATATTGTTTTACCTTCAGTTTTTCTGGTACTTCTAACAAAGTAAATGTAGGAAATCCTCTCCAAAACTGAGGATCAGTGATAGTTATAGCATCGAAAACATCCATACCATTAATAACACCATCACTATCTATTGCATCTGCAACTACAATAATACAATTTCAATCTAAATTGTGATTGAACTAAATACAAAAGTGAACTTACTCAATGTTTGTGTAAATACTATTTTCCCTCTTATTACACATGTGGTGGGACCACTAGACCAAAGATACTCATTTGGAAAATTAATTGAATTGAGCATCTCAACAGCAAAGCCGTCCTCCAAAATTATATTCTATTAATTCAATAAATATATCATGTCAAGAAAATGTTTCTTTTTAAAAACATTACCTCTTCAACTTCCACAAATTGTATTTTCACATAATCAGTATAGAAAAATAATTTTTTTTTTATATTATTCCAAAGTATGTTGTTTATTTCAGTAAATACAATACTACCTTCTACACTGAAGAAATTCTCTAATATTTTTCTATTTTGCCGAATAATAACATTTTTCAAAACTTCTGTACTATTTAACCTGAGAACTCCATTGACCTTCAAAAAACCCTTCTGCACATAAAATTCGTCATTTTTTGTAGTTTTCACGAATAAAGTTTCAGATTCCAGATTCTCCACATTTAAGATGCCATAGTAATCACTAGATAAATGTGCTTCTCGTTTTTTTCTTCCTCCACTTATAATATTTTCTAGCTCCTCTATGGTATTTATTATAATATCTAAATTAGTAGCAGTGTCGTCATCTCTCCATTTGTAGTTACTTACATATATTTCGTTGACAATACCATTGAAATAAAGCTCTGATGTTGTTAGATGATCTATATAAGCAGTTTCTTCCGCATGTTTTAATATTTGTTGTACAGGTAATTTTAGAAACTCTTGCACTTTCCCCATATGGTCTTCTTGTTCTTTGACCCAGTCTTTCAAGAAATTAAAAATGTCTTGTAGATCAAGCAATTCCGAATTTTTAAGTAGCAAATCAAAATATAAATGGAATATCCCGGATTCTGCATTATGACGGGGTACAATTACAGAGATTTCGCTTCCGCGTTTGAATGGTACTGCACCCTTTAAGCCTGCATCTCTTTGTGTATCTAACATGCAATTAATTCCGTATATAATGTTATCACCAATGTGACATGGAATTGGTATAGTTGTTTCAAAAGCTTCACCGTCCCATATAAGAGTCTCTAAAATAACAATATCATGGGATCCAAAATCGACTCGATGTTGCACTAACAATATTAAATCATCGCGATATGTTCGTGCCGGGATAGGCAAGAAATTTTCAACGAGCCCAAAGTTACTGCCAAGAACTGTTTTTGGTATAAATGTTCCGCTTTGATAGAGCAAAATTTTGGGCTGTTCGCCACCAATTGCTACGTAGTATCGCCCACCCATTTGAAATAATATAACAACGTCCACATTTTCCGATACTATGCTATGTCGCATTTGAAAACGTATCTGCTTGTTACCATTTTTATGTGGATTAAACATGTAAATTATAGCGGAACTATTTTGTGCAACAGCCAATATAATATCACGTCCGGTATCTAATATAGAAACATCTCTGCATGGAACCTGTAACTGAATACGTTGAACGATCCAAAACTCTTTGTCTTGTAATTCAAACTGATAAATATTGAGGGTATAGGATTCTAACCGATATGATTCGTTGAATGAAATTGCTAAATAATGGTTTGATTCTGTAGAAAAGTAAGTAAGGCCATTAATAATTGAACTTATTGTCCATTCCCAATGCAGTTCAATTTTTCCTGTGTCATTATTAATAAGGTACCAAAGGATCTTGTTTTCTGTAGCAACTATAAAAATGCCATCCTGCTTTTGTTGTTCCAAATTCCAAAATAAAAATGTTTTCAAATAAGAGATCGGTTGATTTACATATAGTATCTCTCTTGATTGATGGGTGGGTGAGTCTCTACGTATGATTAATAAATCGGTTATACGCCTGCCGATAAAATATTCTTTTTCGCTATTCAGTATGTACGCCCATTCTTCAACATCACTTCCTAAAAAAAAATTCAAGTCCTCCTCAATAAATTTCAATATTAATACTTCCCGTGTGCGACGTTTAGAAATTTGTAAGTGCTGTAATTTGCGGATATCGATATCGGGTTCTAGATAAGCATTCGAATTAACGACATTTGGCATGGTATTTGCATTACCATTATTAATTTGTACCAAACCGTCCTTTTCTGTATTTTTAGAGTTTACAAAATTTTCGTTCTCAACATTATGTTTCGAAGCAGAACTTTTATTCGAATCCGGACTATTAAATTTTAGATCCAAAATTTTTACATGCTTCGTATTGCCAGCCGAAGTTCGCGCTATGCCTGCTGCGTAAGTATCTTGCTCAATTGCTTTGTTGATTTCCGAACGCAATATCTCTACTTCAACCAATGATGTGTTTGTCACTTGCACATTAGAAATTGCTTTGAAATGAGGTTTAATTGATTCAGTCCAACCCGGTTGCACAATTACACCCTGTAAAATATACTTAATTACTATATAATTCTAAATATATGGATAATTTCGTTGACTGTACCTTTTCACTTATGGATTTTTCTTCATAATTTTCGAAAGCATCAGTTATTTCGGCGCGTAGTTTTTCGATTTCTTTACGCTGTTCAATTATCAAATCAACAGAACCGTTAGAACATATCTGAAGTAAATAGGGCAGTTAGTAATAAGGATTAGCACGTGATTTGTTCGTTTTAATTTATTACCTGTTGTAATAGTATAATTACCACATACGTATACAATACCTTTTTAAGCATATTTAATATTGTTTTGAATTTACATATTCTATTATGAATTAGTTAACAAATCAAAAAAATGCTTTAAAAATTATAACAGAAAACTATAACAGATGTTAATGCAAATGCACTGCAGCTTATAAATATGTATAAAAATGATGTCGAAATCTCTTTAACAGTTTTTTTTAAGTATGGAGATTTATAATTTTAATACTTTTGTTTAGCAGCACGAAAGAAATTATTATACAGAGAAAGGCTTTGAAGAGTGTAAACATTTTTCAAATCTCTTGTGTAATTTTGAGTGAAGAGAACGTTTTTTGTACAAAAACAGAAATTTTGTTTTAAGAAACGAAATCATACATATTACATACATAAGTATCGTGCTGCAAAGTTCGCTGTATGCAAATATGCACACAATTCTTGACAGCTTAGAAGCTATTAATCTATTATCATAATTGTTACACATTACGTGCTTGAAAGATATTGGTTAGCTTTGTTCTAAAATTGGAGATTTTAAAATAATATATTTTAAAACAATTTCTAAATATTTCCGAAAAGCTTTAAGTTAAAAATAATATATGTTCATTTGAAATATTAGACACTCTATATATTAATATTAAGATTTCTAAATAGTTTATGAAATAACATGTCTTAAGAAACAAAATTCGAAAAAAAAACTTAACATTACTTACTAAAGTGATTAAACCAGGCATTGAAAATATCCTCATTATGTCAACCCAAGTTCAAATTAAGTAAAGTTTCAATTTTCGTAATAATATCTAGCTTCATATTTGTTAGCCGTAGTCTACCGAAAGTTGGTTGTGTTTTACTCCCTTGCCTTGTAATAGTACGTTTCCACTACGTACTTAGTAAGCTTCATTTTCTGAGTAAATTACATTAACCCTACAAAGAGCTTCCGTGCTTTTTCATTTATTATAGAATATAGTAAACAAAATTCGACCAAAATTATACCAAATTTCACCAATGCAACATTGGAAATTATAGAAATTTGACATATTTGACACATGAAACAAAATGTAAATATAAACAAACAATCAAATTCAAAACAAACAACAGGTAAGAATTTTTTTTAAACATTTGTTTTTAATAAATAAAATATATAATTAATACAAAAAATATAAAAATAAGTTTATTTATCATATGTATATTTGATATAATTATAAAATTTCATATATTATTTAATAATAAATATTTATTTTTAATTATATAAAATCTAATTATATGAAAAATATAAGCATATATTTTTTGTTGTTTTTATTTTTAATTTATAAGTTATTAGTGTTATTATTAGCTATTAGTGAAAATAAAACTTACTGAAAATTTGAACTAAATATCGCCTTATTTCTTTTCTATTTGGATTGTGGTTATTTAGTGTTTAAACTTGTTTTGAAGCCCTCTGTTGTCTTCTCATAACCGACATACGGATTTCATTCTTATCTAAAATAGCAACTCAGGAATATTTTATTCTATATTTAATAATATTTACTGCCCGTATAAGTCTACTTCCTTTTTTTTCTAATAATCATTGAAGAAAGCAATATCATTTGTTGATTTTGAATTATTTGTAATTTAAGCTGCAGCAACTGCAGCTTTTATATTGTGAACAACATTACAAACATTATATATTAAATTATTTAAATTTTCTGCGTTTTCTTCCATGCTGATTTATTTTCTTCTAACAATACAACATTTAATATCATCTGTTTACAATTAAAATGTAAACACAGAAAAGCTCTAGAACTTGAACTTTTTTACACATAAAAGCTCTTTCCCATTCCTTAAGTAACTCATGATAATAGGCCTTTTCGGTGGCTCGCAAGTACGGCAAAAAATGCATGTTGGCCTATGTTGGCCACGCGAGTCATTGGCATCACTGTCAAATGTTTTGTTTTGACAAACAGCAAATTTTGTATATGTGCATATAAATCAAATATATTTATATAAAAATATTATAAAATTAAAATGAACACGGAATCAAAAGGAATGGTAAGAATATTGGAAATTTAAAAATAAAACACTAAGATAAGTAAATTTTTGTAGGTACTGACGATGTTGGGAGAAGAAAGCAACGTTTTGCAGCGGCCGAGGGATGCAAGTTATTTCACGAATTTTTTAAATGTTATGAATGTTCGTGTCAAGTAGCACTCTAGAAAACACTTCGTTTCCTTTGTGGTCCATAGTTTGCGTGTATTTCTATAAAAAAATTTTTTAGAAAAACTTCAAAAATTATGTTTGTTTTATTAATTTTACGTATGTAAACTACAAATTAAATGAAATAAAATAAATGTTACTTGGTAATAACTAACATAATAAAAAATTCAATGTGCTTAATACTTACGATTTCGCCATTCTTATTATTTCTTCGTTACTTTTCCAGATTTTTCAAATTTTTGAATTCTGTTTGAAATTTTATTTCCTCAATTTTTGACATTTGATTGCACTATTCGTTAAAATTTTCAATGAAGGTTCACAATAGTTCGCTTATTGCGTTGGTAACATTTTTTTTTTTACTGGCCGATGTAGTTGGCCAGCATAACTATGCTGGCCGAGGTAGAGAAAATAGTGTTGTTGTTTTGCGTACATTGCGGCCAGTATAGGCCTGCATAGGCCAACAACTTGCTGTTTTTTGCCGTACTTGCGAGCCACCGAATACGCCTAATGTAAACGCAAAAAGCTCAATGATTGAATAAAAATAAGTAATCGAAGTTTATTATATGAGTATTCAGTCGATACTGATTTTATTTTAAAAAGTATGCTGTATTTATACAAAAATAATCTTAAAACTAACTTAACTAATTTACAATATTTATTACCTGTTATAGCTTGTTTGAGTGGACTGTATTAATTACAAAAAAGGATACAATAAAATCCCGGCACGTAGGATTTTTATTATTTTACAAATATATTTTTATTATCGATACAGTGCCGTGTATCATAAAATGTATTTAAAATGTGTTTAATATTCTACAATGTTACTATTTTAGTTTTGGGTTTTTTTTATTACCCGTGTTTTTTCCTTCGTATATAATTCTAAGCATTTAAACTATAACAGGCTTGGAATAATAAACTATCAATTTAAGGACATCCTGCCAGCGTGTTTAATATGCACAGTTGTGCATTATTTTATTTTTAATATAATTTTTTATGATTTTAAAGAGAAAACTGGCATTTGTCCTAAAATAACATATTCATTATTGAACATATTGCCAGCGCCTTTATTAAGGCAGAATGGCTTAATATAAGATGAATATGAAATTGAATATTAGTAATTTGAATAATAAAACATGTTCATTATTGAACATACTGCCAGCGCCTTAATTAAGGCAGCATGACTTAATAAAAGTATAATATAAAAGTTTAATTCAATAATATAGTATATATAAGTTTTATAGGTATTTTCTTTTAACAAAACTTTTTTTTTTAAGTATTTCAATTTTATAAAAAATAATTGTAGGATTTTAAAATTATATAAATTAACATGATTCATTATTTAATATATTTTTTTTTAAGATTAATTAATTAATTAAGATATAATATATAATAGATATATTAATAAACAAATATAGATTATGTTAATTGTTCATTTTTGAACAGTCTGCCGAGGGCCTTTAATAGAAATAGACAACAGTTTTCTTCTTATTATCGCTGCTCGAGTTAGATAAATCACTATTACGGTTATTGTGATTGTAGTTAATCCTAATGCCGTGTGCCCAGAAATGTGATGAAATTGTAAATCTTTTAGCTTTACTGTGTTACCCTTTATCTCATTTATTTTCTTATTTATTTGATTAATTTCTTCTTTGTTATTTATTTTCCAATGATGCCAAGGTTTTATATTACTATTATCAATCATAATTGCGTCTCTAATAACCGGCTTGAGCTCCTCTACTATCGCAGAGCTTTGCAGATTACTAGAGGATGTTAATGTTGTTCCTCTTATACGTGCCATACATCCTTCTGCTAGTGATAAAATGCCTTGACCTGATAAGTTTATTATATCTTCCGTCTGAATCTTTTGTTGTAGTTGTTTTATATAGTTCTTGACATTTTTCATCTTCTTGTAGGTTTGTTTTGTTTTCATCTTCTATTTCCCAAAATCGTTCTAAATTTAAGGCTGATATTGTGTTTTGTTTGTTTGTAGCTGTCCGGATATTATCCACCCGAATATTGTTTCTTGCCCAACTATATGGTCAATTTTCTTAACCCCTTCTTTTATTATTTTAGGATATAGATCACTACCTATTATCATATCTATGCGATCTTTTTTGTTGAATTCAGGATCTGCTAATTTGTAATTTTCCCAGATCGTGGTTTCAAACTTTAACGTTTGTTCTGGCAATGGTTTAATTAATTGTGGCATTACTAAGAATTCACCTTTTACTATCATTTTATCGTTAAATCTTGATGTCATCTCCAAAATAACTTTGGAATTAGAGGTACATTTGACAGTCCTGATAATTGTGTTTTATTTTTAATTTCCTTTAATGATAGAATTTTAGCTTTCTCTTTGCATATCATTGATACTTGTGAACCTTGATCAACAAGAGCTCTTAGTAATTGATTATTCCCATTAGAAGTTTTTGTGGAGATTAATACAGTTGGCAGCAATGTTAATTTCTTATTCTCTCTTTTTATTAGCGTTGACATAGTTTTACCTTGTTTATTAATTTTTATGTTGTCTTTTAGTTTATTCTGACTGTTGTCTTTGTGCAAAAGAGTATGATGTGCTTTATTACAGTTTTTACATCTGAACGACGAATAACATTTGCTGCGATTGTTATGGCTCAAGCAAATTTCACATATTTGCTTTTCGCGAATTACCGATGTTCTATGATCCACTGACATATCTCTAAATTTGATACAATTAAATGTTCGATGTCCCATCTGATTACAATGAAGACAATGAATTTGAGAGGCTTGTGGCTTCTGAACATAAGTTGGAGTATTTATTGTATTTCTGATTCTCTGTTGAGCTTCAAGTGTCTGGAATTGCTGCTCTAAAAATTCTAATACGTCTTCTAATGATTGTATTTGTCTTGGTTTTTTAACATGTTGTTCG